TTAAAAGACGAAGTTTGCAAGAATTGGAAGATATGAACTTAATTTAAATGTAGGGATTATGTCCTGAATATTATTAATTTTGACCCAATTACAAAAAAAGTGACCACTTTTAAAAAAGGGCAAAGAAGTGATCAAGAAGGTCATATTAATGTCATTCCCAAATTTTAATGTCACTATCAAATGTCACTGTGGCCACTGCCCGTGTCACTGTGGCCACCGCTCGTGTCACTGCGGCCACCGCCCGTGTCACTGCGGCCACAGCCCGTGTCACTGCGGCCACCGCCCGTGTCACTATCTTCACGGGCCGCCGGCCACGTTGACACAAAATTACTCCGACTACCGCCCTCGGTCAATTACCACCGCCTCCCCGCCGGATACCACCACACCCCAGCCCCTGCCCTACTACCACTGCCCTTGACCTGCCCTTTACCCAACAGACCAGCTCCCACAGCCCCAGCCCAGTCCCACTCCCCAGCCAGCAACCCCCCTCCCCTGCTCCCGCCCCCTGTCCTCCCTAAGGCCTTTCCCCGGCCAGTTTTTCTGACCACCATGGAATCCTTGCCGCACCCCCACTGAGATGGCAGATCCATAACCAGCAACCAAAAATAGCAGCCACCACCCGTCTTATAGATCTGGCACCGCCGACTCTAAGTCACAGACGTCTTCCATCTAGACATAGGACCCAGCATCGGCGGCCATCTAGGTCAACGGAGAAGCTATAGAAGCGCGCGGGGAGGGGGGGGGACGAAAGGGAAGAAGACGCCTTGGAGGTCTTCTCTGCTCGCGAGATCGGCGAAGAGCAGGGCGATGGCGATGGCGGCGCAATTCGTCTGCAGAGACTATGGATTATGGAAACGGCTCTTCTCATCTGCAGAGGCTGGGAGGTCTTTTCTGTTCTTCTCGTCTGCGGAGGCTTCCAGCGTAAGTGTTCAAGCGCCGAATGACAAAGGGGAAAGTTAGCTCACTTTTTTGTCTAATCAAAATTTGGTCATATTTTGATAATTTATACGGGTGCCATTCTTTCTTAAATTTATAATAATTGAGAAACCAATAGTGCAATTCTCTTGAAAAAACTTGACATTAACCCCTAAATTTGATGGCTTGTCCCTACCAGGCGGAGGGTATGCAAGTTAATGCCACACTGTGTCGGCAAAGAGATGTGGGGCACATTTGAGTAAACTCACACTTATTTAATCATATTTTGAGTACACATATATCTAAAATAAAAACTTATAAGCATCAATGATGGTTAGGGCATTTTAGGAATGATAAAAATGTTGGTGTAACACTAAAGCAATCTACACTTGTACAATTTGTTTTACTAATTGTACCATTCATCATAGTCTCTATGTTTACTCCTTAACTCCGTTATAACCCAACCGTTTGATTCCCAACATTCTTTGTATGACTTTGACAATTTAATCTAAAAACTTATAAGCATCAATGATGGTTAGGGCATTTTAGGAATGATAAAAATGTTGGTGTAACACTAAAGCAATCTACACTTGTACAATTTGTTTTACTAATTGTACCATTCATCATAGTCTCTATGTTTACTCCTTAACTCCGTTATAACCCAACCGTTTGATTCCCAACATTCTTTGTATGACTTTGACAATTTAATTATTCTATGCATGTGATTGGTTTGATTTTCATTAACGTTTTCACTTAATTTTTTATTCTAATGTTTTCCTCTATGCATGTTATGTGTTATGTAGAAGATAAAAATTCAACTTTATGTAAATTTTATTATTGTAGTATTATTATAATCAATATTATTATAATTAATTTTTTTATTATGAATAAAACTCAACCGTTGTTCTCTTTGTGTGAAAGGATTTAGGTTTTTAGTTAGACTGTTTTCAGTCCCAGATCAGACCAGATCAAACCAAACTAGACCAAATCAAACCAGACTTGGATAACTATAAAATATATAGAAAGCAGACGTATACCACACCAGTCCAGTCAAGACTAGACCAAATCAGACCAAACTAGACTCGAAAATTTCATTACAAGTAAAAACATCCTCAGTTGCATCTCTTTGCTAGAAGCTCTTCTATTCATTTTATTTTTATTGCTTATTGTTTATTTTTATTTTACTTAAATCATATCAGATCTTAAAATTTAGATTAGGTTTGAATTAAAAAATTTAGATCAGAAACGTTCGGCCATGATTCATTGCCTTCATCATCATCATCATTATTTTATTAATATCCTTATCATCATTATCATCATCTTCATCATTATCGTATTACTATTATCAATATTTTTATGGTTATTATTATTATTGTTGTTGTTGTTGTTGTTGTTGTTGTTGTTGTTGTTGTTACTACTACTACTACTACTACTACTACTACTACTACTACTACTACTACTGTTATTCTTGTTATTTGTATGTTATTATAAATATAAAAGCATAATTTCTTGCTATTATTAGTTGAAAATAATAATATAATTTCGAAATATATGCCGATAACTTACATTAATATGTCTTAATTTCCTTTATTGCACATACATAAGTAGGCATGGACCCAGTTTTGGTCTCAGACTGTCCAGCCCCGATTCCTATTTGGAAAAGGCCGGAAGGTATTGTGGGTATCAGTCCGGTCGCGGGTAAGCGGCTGATCACGAGTTTGATATGGGACTTTGTATATTATTCTATGTCTATGTGTAAATATAGAATTACTATAAACGAGAGATGTTAGATCATCACCACCCTCACCCCCAACTCTATCCCAAGTACACCATAATATATATCCCTCCATTGCATTTTTTATATGATTAAAGAATATTAACCGGCCTATTGAATAATTCACTATATATAATAGGTTTTGCCTTAGGGGCACTATATATAATTAACATTCGTTATTGCACTTGCCTCTTAATGACACTACAAATCGGACTTAAATATCAATATGGCACACATGATCTACACACTATTAACCTCATCATTTAGCCCACTTTCTCCGATTGTTTATTACCACAATATTGATATTATATTCTTAGAGGGTGTTTGGGAATTACCCTTACGGGCCTTACCCCGCTTTACCGCTTATTGACAAAGAGATGTCTCACGTCTCTTTTTAATCATCCGTTATATGGAAAATATATAAATAAAGTTGGGATATGTGTTTCATTTTTTGACAAAGTGGGAAAAGTACATAAAAGATACTTGTGGTTTGAGCTGTTTTCAGATAAGGGCACGTGTTTCATTTTTTGACAAAGTGGGACATATGTTTCATTTAAAATTGGTGTTTTTCCATGTGTTTCAAAACCCGTTTGTTTAAACTTTGACTTATAGAGAATTGAAACACAAATGTGGACCAGAACTTATTGTTTCAATGTTTTTGTCAATCAGACTTTAATTGTAAACATTCAAAGAAAGGGTTTATACCTACCAATCTTGCACGTAGTGTTTTAACTTTTTTGTATACAGACCAACTTGAAATTATTACAATTAATTTGGAAATAATAAAAAACGTTTTCCCTAAAATATTACTAATTGTTGAGGTTTATTCCTTCAACCCTCGGGTCCAACACGTAAGTCCAAGGATTTCGAGTGGAGTGTGTGTGAATAAACTAGCCCAACAAGCAGATGGTATGGATTAAAGAGAACAAGAAGTAGCAAGTAAGTGATTAGGTATTATTATCTCTTAATAACTCCCTAATACAATACTTTTCGCTAAGGCTCCGTCGGCCGTTCGTCTTACAAGGCAGTAGAAGTGCTGCGGGTAAGGATGCTATAGCTAGAGTGCTAAGAATAGAAAGTTGCCAACCCTTTACAATGAAATAAATGCTTCTATTTATACCCGCCAATGAGCAGGTGGCTATACTGACGTGGCAGCCTGCGGATCGCTGGTGCCCCAACCACCAAATCTTCAGCATTAAATGCACTTCCCGCCAGAATCTAAGTTTCCCGCGTACTTACTGGGGACGTTCGTCCACCCGGGGAGCGAGCTAAGTTGCTCCAAATGGCCCTCAAGGGGTATCGGCTGTTCGTCTCCTGGCCCTTGTGGATTCTCGCCACGTGGACTGGACTGCCTCTGATGGCTATGGGCTTGCTCCGGAGACGTTCGTCATCATCCCTGGTGGCCCGTAGTCCTGCTTCTTGTTCCTGCATAGACGTTCGTCTCTCCTGAAGGAACATGGGCCTGCCGGGTGAATGGGCCGGACCTCGACTTGGGCCATTAACCCAATACTAATATAATAGAAAGCATTGACAAAAATGTAAATAAAGTTACTATGATATACACCGTAAAATTTAAAATAATTATAGTTACTGAAATTATCAAATTACGTTTTTCCATTATACTTATTATCTACATGACTACATGGCACATGGTGTGCTGATTTTACGCAATAATTTTCGATAATATTTGGGTTGGCGGAATAAACTTACTTATATCATTACGTTTTAATTTAATTTTGATATTGAAATTGACATAATGTTTTTTAAGCATTTGAGTTTGCACAAATAAATGTAGAAGTTGTGCTACTTATCATATATTACTAAATATGAAGTAACTATTAAGCAAAAGCTTAGTAGGTTTTAAGTTATTGTGTGTTGCTCAATAGGTTTAAAAACATGTTTTTACTTATCATATTGCTAAATAACTATTAAGCAAAAACTCAATAGGTTTTAAGTAAATTGTGTGTTGCACAAGTTGTGACTTTCTGTCTCTTCTTGTTTATGTTTTCTTACCTATTTGTTTATTTAAATTCAATATTTTCCGATTAAACAAACCAATTTACCCAACAAGTCATATGTTCATCAAATGAGTTTAGACAATTATGAACTGACCATGTTTGTTCCAAACATGTTTAAGATAATAACTCACATTTCAAATATCATGTGCATATTTCTATCCATTTAATTAATTATCAGATACACGTCAAAATGTCTCATATGTGTGATCATATACAAAAAATATCGTCAAAATAATAAGATATATACTAGCGTAACTAAATACTTAGTATCAATATTTCATAAATCACATTGGGCGTTTTTTAATCGCGCAACGCACGTAACAAAACTAGTAGATATATATATATTTTGATTTCTGAATCACTAAAAATAATGCCTTAAAAAAACAAAAAAATACTGCCACAATCACATTTCTACTTTCATACACTTCCTTCTATTGCTACAGACAGGCTGATCATTTGTTGCTGTGAAATGACATTAGAGATGTTTTCTTCAGTCTTTATAACATGTGAAACATCATACTCCTCAATACAAAAACGTGCCTATTCACATCAATATACTATACATATATATAGTAAGCAACATATGGCAATCCCCACATGTTGAAATGCTTAGTCATTCTGTGTGCAACCCATCCATGTGATTTCCTTCTTCTGTGCAGCTTTTCCTTGAACCCAATAATGTGAAAAAATCCAAAAAAATTTAACATCTTATATTCTTATGATCATAATAATAAAAAAGAATAATCAATGGTTCAAGGGAACAGCTTTAGACGCATCCAGATGGTTTAGACGGCAGGTTCCAATGAGGTATTCTGGAAGCTCATCTGTTGTATTGGCCTGTTAACAGCCAATTTCATATTATCTTCAGACTAAACTAACAGAGCACATTCAGAAAGATTTTTTATATGTTATTTAAGCAAAATAATTCTACGTACATGTTTAGTTATTTAATTATATATTACCTGTATGAGAAATGCCATTTCAATAACAAGATTGTTTAGGCAGCCAAGAACAAGGCCAACCACACCCCTTGCAACTGTGGATGAACCAACATCTACTCCAAGCTGAATTTTTTGAAGGTAAAAACCAATTATCTCATCAGAGCAACAATTATAAATGCCACTCTGAAGATTATTATATCAATATATACAGTTCTTTTCAATAATAAAAAGATACTTCACAACCTATTATGGCTCTTACCTCCAAGTAGTTCTTCCCACGAGAGTAATTCACCTCTAACGCCTGCCCTATGAGGCAAGCTTTTCGCCCAACACTCTGTTTGACTATCCAGGATCCCTGAAAAAAAAAAAGAATAAATACGGAGTACAAATAATGACCAGCATAATTTTGAAAATTATTAGCAGCAAAGGTTTAGCTATCAAATCCCCGCAAAAAAAGGTTTAGCTATCAAAGAAATGACTGAAGTTGTCATCCCATACTTACTTCCTCTTCCCTAGTCACTTCAAATACTTCGATATCAATAGGTTTATGTTTTTCAATATATGAAAGAATTAATAGCCTATTAAACAACATATTTTCTTAACAGACAGTTACTTGAGAATGGAAGGGGTATCTGATTTCTCATTAGTGAGGTAGCAAGAAGGTACCAACCTTGGATATGTAAGGTATAAGCTTGAACCTTGAATTCCTATAAGCATCGTCTCCTTCTACAAAGCTTTTCAGCAAAGGTGCCTCTTTTAAAGGAGTATCCATCATATAGTATAAAGCAAGACTGTATGTTGTTGATCCAGGGACCTGTTTGATTGTCAAAACCCTATTTCTGTACAAATATCCTTATTATTAAAACCAAAGAAGCATATGTAAAATAGCGGACAACATTCACCTGTATGTGGACGATGAAGAAGAATTCTTGCCCACCCTTTGCAGCATATTTCTACAACATAAAGGTAATATGTATCAACCCCATAGACGATAATGTAATTGCACGACCACCCAGACAGAAGTTTACTGAGCTATGGTATAAAAATGTGGGCTCCAAACGTAAATAGACAGCTAGAAAAATACCTGAACTATGCTCCCTTCCCGACTACCTAGATCATCTTCTCGTTTATCAGATTTCAACCAATCTGCACCGACCAATTGCATCAATGTGCCTTTTGCTTTAATCTACAGAACATCATGTGAAAAGAGACAATGTTAAATATCAAACTAGAGTTGTATATTCTTAAGCTTATAGGTGTAATGAAATTCACCTTCTTACGATCATCTAAATAAGTCTCTCCACGAATTAGAAAAGTTGAGGGATCTGCTTCGGTCCAACTGCAAGGCAAACTACAGCTTGGATCCTTTGGAAGGGTGGATCCATAGTTGCATAACAAACAATCTTCCTTTACCATCTCATGCAGGTCGACATAACCCTTCTTTTGAACTGTTGAAGAAAAAAATTAACTGTCAGCTTTTCAAAGAGAACACGTGTTCTGGAAAGTCCTATCAAACTAACCTGCAAGATCATGCAGTTTCTTCACAAAAACAGCAGCAGGTGACACTTTTGTATGTCGTGTATCCTGAAAAGAATCAACAAAACATATAAACTTTTGAACTTCAAGAGAAAACCCACAAAAAATGAACTAAGTCAAGGATTCAGGCATTAATACCACACAAGATTCTTGTTTTAAATTGGAAATAAATTGAGGTTATGCATGTGCCCATAATTAGTCATATAGCTTTAATCACTTTCACGTCATCTCTTGTAACTAATAAATTTGTTCACATTAAGGACTTTTCCACCAGAATGTACCACTTTTGGAAGAAAAAAAAAATTGCTGTCAGCAGCTATTCCGATGAAAATAGCCTTAATGTGGACACAGTTATTAGTTGCATGATATGATCTGCAGGTAAGTAAAGGTAAGAAACAAATAACGGGCACAAACAGAAGTAACACAACTAAATCGGCAAATATCTCTATAAATAACAGATTCATGGATACAAAAGAGAATTCATCCCTGAGGAGCATGGAGTTGCAGCTATGTTTAGTTGTGACTCCTTCCGTCCCAAAATAAACTTACCAATTATATTTTGGGTTGTCCCAAAAAGAAATCTCATTTCCTTTCAAGGAAAGAATTGTGTGATAGAGAATGATTCTTTCATTGTAAATAAATCTCAACCATAACTTAATTTCCGAAAGTCACCAGCCAAAAAGTAATGAGAAGTTTACTTCGGGCAGGAGGGAGTAACTGTTAAGAGGACTCCAGAAGTAATGTATGAAGTGGCACCTAGTAAGACTTATCAACATAGTAGTTGCTACGGAGTATAACTTCAAAAAATACAAATTCACAACACTCTTCTACCTGAGAGCACATTTCCAGTCCAAAGTCAGAAGGCCAACCATTTCCAGATTGTTCAGTATCTAGTGGTTCAGGGACATCAAAAAACTCATCCGATGCATCATTTAACCCCATGAGGCTTGCATGTTCAGATGGTGCCTTCACAACTTCTTCCATGTCTTCCTTATGCTTCCTCTCTAATGTTGTTTGGGCTTCACTGTCCTCATCAATTTTATGCAATCTTCTTCCTCTAATCAGTTCTCCCGAGGAATCAGATGTCGAATATTCTCCAACTTTTGCCTTAAATAGCTCCCGTAAAGCTAGAAATGAAAATTGAGACTATCTGAGTATGCGATCAAATCTAATAGTCTAATACATGTACTCGAACTGATAAAAGTGGTTAAGAAACATACCAGAAAGTCTTCCTAGCATGCGTATAGTTATAGACCGAGCTGATGATGTTTGTATATAAGTTTTCCAGGATTTCCAATCAATAGCAAGCATGTGCTTAACAACTGAGGCCTTCCCTTGATTCATGGGTGATATTACATATCCACCACCTGCTTGGAGTGCATATTGATAAACATCAATAATACCAACAGATGAATAGCAAGTTTGGCCTAATCACATATAGATAGACAATAAATGACATAAAAGAGCACAATGTCTTGGCATGAAAATAGAATAATTCCAACTGGACCTTTTTATTGACATTTTGGAGTGCTTAAGTGACATTCCTATGTGTCACTTGTTTTGTGGTAATTGTGGACTTTACCTTTTAAAAGTAGAGCCCAGTATTTTAATGAAGACCTGTATTCTAGTTATAGTGATACATATGAATGTCATTTTAAAATGTCAATAGAAGATGTCCTAGGTTTACTAAAAATAAACTAAAACAACTACTTCTTGATGTGTTAAGCATACATTACTTTTAAGGCAGGCACGGACATATCCGGTTTGAGGAGGACACTTCTGGTGAAATACAGAATGGTACAGAATGACTGCATGAAAACCAGCAAAAGTTACCACTTACCTAATAGGTCCAAGCAACATGAAAAACTAGATTTCAGAGAAGCGGCTTATTACCATACGTCCCGTCATCCTCCCTTCTCCAATAGCGCTGCAGAAGAAGATCTCTTCTCTTCATTCCCCTATGATGATACATGTTAAATACTGTCCACTCAAAGTGTAGAACTCGCAAAAACACTGGATTTAAAATAAGCATCAGACCAAGGAAGCCAATCACGATGCAGACACTTATGAACTATATCTGTATGACCATCCAGATGTTCAATCATACTGCCCTTGTATAAACAAAAGTCCCACCTGTAGGAGAGGCAAAATGCATATTATTTACATAGTAACTTGGAACATTTAATAGATGAGAATCATGGAATGATCAAGCCTTGACATAAAGGGCATAAGATATGAAGCATAGTGAAACTGTCAAATAAACTTAGAAGATTACTCTGATCTTGAAGGACCAAGGGACATGAGCGTTTGAAAAATTGCCTCTGATGTTCCATCAACTACTCCAACAGCCATTATTGCTGGATGGTCATCCCACTACAAAGCACAGGAACATGTTTAACAAGCTATACATACTTTATAATTTTTCTACAAATGCCCAAATAGTCACATCGATATTACTAACCCTCTTTTGAGATCCCCTGTCTTTAGTTTCTTTAAATAGCCGTAGTCCTGCATGAAACATTTTAAGGGGTCTAACATATTCAGCAATTAAAACACAAATCAAAGCTATTTTCACCTAGTTGGCAATGGAGCCAAAGATTCATTGTTTTTTGGCTTGAGAATATGATGGAATAAAGCAAAATGGCTCACCAAACTGTCTGCGCTTCTTTGTTATGAAGCAGCAGTCAGTCCATGCAATTTTGGACGCAATTTTCACTATGGGTCATCCGGAAACAGTCTCTCTGTGCTTTAGTACAGGGGCAAGACTGCGTACATCCGACCCCCTTACCCCACCATAGGTGGGAGCCTTTGCGGCACTGGGGTAAATGATGATTGATATATAAATGATGAACTATATTACTGCCTTGATTTATTGTAAGCCCTTGTTTACATTACTTTACCAGAGAGAAAATAACTTGAGTCCAAAACATTGAAATGAAAACCTGATTCACTTTATAAACTGAAAAAGCAATTCAGCATATGTCAAAAGCCTAAAATTCACATCTCCCCAGCAGAGTCCAAGGAAATAATATTTTATTTGCCTAGATTAAGAAGTGTGTGCGGTGTTGAAACGATAATAAGCATTAAAGCATGAAAGGACCTACCATTCTGACAACCAAAGATTGTCCAAGAAGAGGATGCAACAACATCGGATCTTGCATCTGTGGTTGATGGTGAAAAATAAGCCCAGTCAACTGAAGTTGGGCGATGATACCTATTAGAGAAATTTGAAGTATGTAAAGAGGATAAACATTACTCATCTTCACAGAGACTTAATTCACAATCAACAAGCCATTAATCACTCTATCTAGAGAAACAGTTCGATTTCACTAGTTATAAAAAACAAAAGCATGGAATCACAGATGTCAATTCAATATACCTTAAATATTGTGACCCATGCATCGGGAAATCCAACGCATCCCCCCGATTTGTTTCTGCCTGTAATTAAGCATTCTTATAAACTATTAAGAATTGGCAACATTAGAATGTAAGTCTTTCTATGGCGCATATATGGCACGTATCAATAGGGATACATTTATTTTATTATTAAGCCCATTATTTTAGTAGGATTTATCCCAAGAAGGTAGTTTCCTTCTGGGACTTTCTTTCCCTGTTTTACAATTGTATAGCCGATTGGCTACTGCCTATATATTAGGCCACTCTTCATTCGTATAAACAGAACAAATAATAATAAAATTCCAGTTCACAATTCCTATTGCTTGCTAAATCGTCACTTTCTCACTTTGTATGATTTTGTACTTAATAGCTGATACCTTCAAAGCTGCTTCTTGAATAGCCTGAATCCATCTCGCTGCTTCCTCAGGACTGGTTGCTCCCAACTTAAAATAAATACAACAACATCATTAAAAAAAATTGCCTAATATACATAGGCCCTTCGTGTTGAATATATTTGAGTATTTGACCAAAAGGAAGAGATCATTCACCTTGAGCTGATCGTTATGATTTGAAGTATTGTAAAGAGAGAAAACAAAAATGGCCTGCAAAATCATAAAAAAGCCATAAAATATCCATGGAAAAAGATAAATGCTAAAGACATACCAACTTGGCAAACTAACTTAAATGAGTATCATACCCTTCTTTTTATGTTCTCTCTCCCATTGTCTGTCACCCGAATACAGGAATCAATAACTGCACTTCTGACCGGATCCTGATAAAGCATCAACGTTTCACTTGGAGATCACTTGTAAATGTTATTGGAGGGAACTGACATTATAAGAACTATGCGGACTCCCAAAACACAGCTTTCCCACATTCACAAAACAGAAGTCTTCAATCGCAGAATTGTTAAATATCATTTCATTGTTGGAGCATTGGCTACTTAATAGGAACAATATCATCACTTATTCCTAGATAAGACTGGATTCAGATTCATAGAAAGAAACAAATTTGAACTATTCACGTTTTTCCTAAAAAAATCTAAAAGTTTCAAGCAATGGATACATCAAGACCCTCAGAAGTGACATGGATGACCAGGTCAACAGGTAGATTCAAAATTGAAGTAATTATACATAATGTTCCCCCCAAAAAAGGTCAATATGAGTAATACATTGCTCTCCTATGCTGAAATAGCAAACAGAACGACATAAATCCAGCTCAACTACGCCTTAAGCCGGACTAATTTCGTGTCGATAAGGAAGAGGGAAAATACGAAACCTCGAGTTTGGAGACGGGTATGGATTTGTAACTGTTGAGGAAGTGATCCTTCAGAACGAAGTATCTTTTGCGGGAGTACTGAAGCCCAATCGAATTGGAGCGCACCAGATACAGCCACCCGTCCATTGTACTGCAATCGCCACTGTTCTCCATAATGTCCGTCACCTCCGCCGGGAAGATAGCTTTGCCAGTTAAAATTGAGCGCGCAGCGAAGTGAAACTGCTCTGGAGCTCAAGATTCGGAAAATAGTTGAGAGAGATAGACCGTATCACCAATCACATCAAAAAATGAAGATGGTATCTTTCATCCTGATTCTCCGACCAAGATTATATATATGAATGGAGAAGATGAAGAGAAACGTTATGGTAAACTTCTCTTTCTCGCCGGTTGGTTCGTGTGGGGGCGGGATTTAACTTTTACTCTGTTCTATCGCAGCAACTGGAGAGGGAGTATTAATCAACTTTAAATTCTGCGAAAAAACAGAGTTTGTTGAGCGTTGATGAATAGATAAGGTGCCCACACTGATTGATAAATGATCTATATGAATCGACCACTCCAAATGATCCAAACAAATAAACTTGAATAGACTGAGCTGTTTGATTTAGAACTCAGGTTTGCATTTTGAAATTTGCTTAAATTGACCAAAACCGACACTTGCTGGAATCAATTTGAGTCATACACGGCTCGATTTTGATTTCTAAATATAGGAACGATCGTACTGAAACAATTGACGATGTACTAATACTAACGGATCTCCAATGCTATAATGTCCTCGCTGCACATGTGGCATGAGTGATAGCCACATAATTATTAGCAAATAAATTATTTCTCTCCTTATTTGAATGAATTTATACAATTTTGGTAAATTTTTCCCTGCAATGTCAACAACAATGTCAACATTAGATGGTCTCCTTGACATTGTGGAGAAAAAATTACCAAAATTGTATAAAATCATTCAAATAAGGAGAGAAATAATTTATTTACTAATATTTATGTGGTCATCTCTCATGCCATGTGTGCACCGTGCACATTGTACCATTGAAGATGCTCTAATAATAGAAGAGTGGAGGACCTAGACGGTCTGCAGACTGCGGGGCAAATGGGTGGTTGTCCCGCTTCCGATCCAGAATTTCACTATTAGTACTTATCGTGTAATTTAGTGCTCGTGAGGAACAAAAAATTACTACTACATTTGTTCCATAATGATTGTCATGTATTAATTTGATGCAATTGTTAATAAAATGTAGGTCTGAGATCGGTTCGATTCTTGTTAAAATTTGATGGAATCGTATTAAAAATTATAAGCGCTAAATTTGATTCGGTTCTAGTTAAAAATGTGGTTGTAAAATTCGGTTCGGTTCTTACATTATTTCAGTTCCTAATAAAAATTTTATTATTTTTCTAAAATGAACACATTTTACCTTCAGTTACATTAAAAAATTCAAATTTCAAATGATAAAATTATGACCATTACATTATACATACATGATATTCCAATGTTCAAATATCACAAAAATATCCAAGTGAAAACATTAAGAATAAACATAATAAAAACATAAAGGTTTAAAATAGGCATCAACTATCAAACAAAAAGGTTTAATAGATTCAAGGTATACATCCAATAGCAAGATTAGCAGGTAGTTCAACCTCAAAATAATATTATGCTACTAGTAATTAATGCACCATAAGTAAAAAGTGTGTAGTATTAAACTGACCAGTAATATTTATAATTTAGTATAAACAAGGGAAAATGGAAATTAGTAATCCAACCTTTTAACGGTCTTCTTTCAATAATCCCACCTTTTGATTATTCATGAATAATCCAACCTTTGCACTTCATCTTCATTCATTAGTCCCTGGTCGGGTAATGACCTCCTATTCCAAGTTATTTTCTTATCTTTGCAAAATATTATCTTTGGGAAAGATGAGATTTATGGTATAATGATTTGAAAAGATAAGAAAATAGCTTGGAATAGCAGGTCATCAACCGGTCAGGGACCAGTGAATGAAGATGAGGTGCAAAGGTTGTATTATTCATGAATAACCAAAAGGTTAGATTATTGTAAGAAGACCGCTAAAAGGTTGGATTATTAGTTTCCATTTTCCCTATAAACAAATAACAACGTAATCAGGGGAATATTATTTCCTTATTGTGAACTCAAATAACAAATACAATCACAAACAAATAATAAATATAAAAGTGGACTAAAGTAGTACAATACTATCGTAACAACTACTCGAATTGGCGTGGGCCACAATATATAAGGTATATTATGCAAGACAAATATTCAATTCCTGACAATAATTTTCTGTCCAGAACGTCGTCTGGCCACCTCCATTTGAGGTGCTTACGGGTGGAATTTTTTATGATAGTTTGTGAGCATATTCTACATGAAGTGTAGATTTCATCCACCAAATTTCAGCTTAAAATGCAATCGGGAAGTGAGTTAAATAAATATTGAAAAACATTGTGTTTTTTATATGTATTTTGATGTAGTGTTTTTCAATAATTTATTTAACTAACTTCACGATTGAATTTTAAGCTCAAATTTAGAAGACATAATCTACATTTCATTAAGAACAAGCTCACAAAATTTCATCAAAAAATTCCACCCAGAAGCACCTCAAATGAAGATTACTCATGCACAGGGGCGGATCTAGAAAATTTAACTATTGGGGGCACCACTTCAAAGCAAGTGACAATTTTTTAATAATTACTCCGTATAAGTGAACTTCAAAATATGAAAAAAAAAACAATGTAGGTGTAATAGAAATAGCCCCTTTGATAACACTAAAATTACTCAAATCAGTTGTTTATGCAAAATTCATTAAGTTATAATCGAGACGATTGAATTGACTGAATCTGCTGAAGTATGAAAATATAATAAAATGTATTTTATAAATAAAACAAAATAAAGAAAAAAATATGTGCGAAAATAGATCAAATGATTCTAGCCAATTATTTGGCTGGATTCATATGCCGCAATTTTTTTACTATAAGGTTTTGAGTGAAATCAAAGCCACGAGATTGGTTGGCTCCCTTAATCAAGTATTTTCTTATTTTCATCTATTCAATTTTTCTAGGCATTGAAAGAGTACTATGTACTCCGTAATACATCAACACCGGAAGTTTGTCAAGCATCCCCTCTTTGACTATGAAAGCGGTGATTTTCATTTATAGAATCATATTATCACTGTTTAATCTGTCAAATAAATAACATTTTAAAAATTATACTTATCATTTACCCTAAATAATTTGCCCAAAAACTTATTATTAATCGATCCGCTCAAATGCCTATGTTTAATTAATTTGCCAAAATAAATTTCCCAATAAATAAACTAATAAAGTAAAACTCAATAACCCATTCTAAATACACAACATGAATTATCATGAAATTCTAAGAATTAAAATATGAAAACATCGCAACATAAAAGGGGACAATTGGTTGGGCCGTATCCCTTGACTATTTGACCGGGACTTCATGAAGATTGTAAAATATCATTGGGGTCCTCCAAATTATTGATTGGGGGCACACCTTAATTGTATAAATTATATATATACGTATATACTTCTATATACATTAAAAAATTTGATGCCATTGGGGGCATGTGCCCCCATCAAATGTAAAGTGCATCCGCCCCTGCTCATGCAATGTATAAGAAGTTCAATTCCTGCCTAGGAACCGGAACCTAACCGATCATATACTATAGGAACCGAACCGAAAAAAGATGAAGTCCAAAATTATAGGAACCGAACCGGAAAATTCGGTTCGGTTCGGAACGGTTTTCCCGGTTTTACGGTTCCAAGTCCCGGGCCTAATAAAATGGTTGAAAAGTAAAAATTGTTATTGAGATTTGAGTCAAATGAAGTGAAATGATTTGAACTACAAATTTTTTGTAGAAAAGAGAAAAACAATACATATCAATATTGGAATGACTCAAAAGGGAAGTATGGAGTACTACCTAGTACTACCTCCGTCTCATTTTATGTGTCTTAATTTGATCTAGCACGATTATTAATGAAGTGGTTAAAAAAGTAAAAGGGAAAATGGAAACTAATAATCCAACCTTTTAGCGGCCTTCTTACAATAATCCAACCTTTTGGTTATTCATGAATAATCCAACCTTTGCACCTCATCTTCATTCACTGGTCCCTGACCGGTTGATGACCTGCTATTCCAAGCTATTTTCTTATCTTTTCAAATCATTATACTATAAATCTCATCTTTCCCAAAGATAATATTTTGCAAAGATAAGAAAATAACTTGGAATAGTAGGTCATTACCCGACCAGGGACTAATGAATGAAGATGAGGTGCAAAGGTTGGATTATTCATGAATAATCAAAAGGTGGGATTATTGAAAGAAGACCGCTAAAAGGTTGGATTATTAGTTTCCATTTTCCCAAAGTAAAAATTGTTGTTGAGTTTTGAGTATAATAAAGTGAAATGATGTAGGCCACATATTTCTTTCGAAAAAAGGAAAGGATACACTTATTTTGGGATAACCCAAAATGGAAAGTAAGACAGATAAAATGGGACGGAAGGAGTATTTTTCATTGTATTGTAGGTTATTGATCAACGTCAGACTCAAAACTTCAACTTTAGTTTATTTTGTGATCTTGAAATATTTTGAAAAGTACTCCCTCTGTCCCATTTTACATGTCCTACTTTTCTTTTTGGGTTGTCTCAAAATGAGTGTCTCATTTCGTTTTTTGGAAATAAATAAGTGGTCTACACCGTTTCACTTTACTCCGTATTATACTTCAAAGCTCAACTACAACTTTTACCTTTTCAACCACTTCATTAATAATCGTGTCAAACCAAACTAAGACACATAAAATGGGACGGAGGTAGTATTTGATTTGAGTTAAGTATGATCAATCTGGTCATTTAGAAAGAAGCATGATTAATCTGGTCTAACAAAGTGAACGCAAAGTGAAACCTCCTTAAATAAAAAAAAGAATCATATCACTTCAGGCCTTCAGGGTAGATTCTAGACTAAATTAATTTGGTTTAGAGAACAAACAAAATAGAATCAATTTTCAGAAGCTGGTCTCCCCTAAAGCCCTAACGTCTAACAAAAATTGCTTCTAGGAGTAAATTAGAGCATCAGAAGTACTTCTCCACTTTCACTCAAAACTTCAACTTCTGTTTCTCTTCTCTGAAAGAGAAAAAGTAGTTTTAAGAATTAGATCCAAACACACCCTAAATTAAATTAAAAATCGATTATTTTCATTTAAGTGATTTTGAGAAAATATTACGGAGTAAAATAATCTGAACTGATTTCTAAACCTTTTTGTGTATACGAGCCCGTTTGGTAGCACCAAAATCGGCTATTTTGGCTGATTCTCCTGAAATTTATGAAGCTTTGGCTGAATTGGCTGCATTGGCTGATCCCGTTGATTTAAAAAAATTATTTTAAAATATATTTTACAAATAAAATAAAGGAAAAATTATATGTAAAAATAGCTAAAATGGTCATCTACAGTAACTTTAGCCAATACAGCCAGAAAAGTAACTTCAACCTTACTTTTCTGCTTATTACACAATTCAGCGCGCGGAAGGAAAAATTACGTGTTTGGTGAAAAAAGTTGACTGATAAGCCTGATAAACCGAAAAACATTGTTGTCAAACAACCTCTACATCATTACT